CCCCTGGGAAGCAGGGCGGAGGCGGGGCCGGGGCCGGGGCCGGGCCCGGGCTGGCTGGAGCAGCTCAAGTCGTGTTTCGCCTGGTCCGGGACGTCCCCGTGGACGCTCTGGCTCTTCGCCCTGCTCTGCCTCGCCGGCGTCCTGCGCCTGCCGCTGCGGATCAGCGACAACCTGAGCACAGGTGGGGACGCGGCATGTGCGCGACGCACCCACCGGGGACTCCGCTCCCGCCCCGAGGGGCCTCCCCCGCGCGGCCGAGGGGAGGCGAGTCCCGGCCCCGCGGGGCTGGAGCGGGCTGAGTTTAGCTACCACCTCGTGTGTGCCCCCTCCCTTCCCATGGGGCTTCTCAGAGTGGCAGCGAGGCGGTGGCCGGCAGCGTCTGCTTGGAAGAGCCAGGAGCCCCGTGGAAGGGACAGCAAAGCTTGCCCCGCTCCTTGGCGGAAATGACTTTCCATCTCCTTGGCACAGTCTGTGTGCAGCCAGCCCCCTGCTTGGATCAGTTCGGGGTCTCCCACTAGCGGAGTTTTAGCAGCAGCTCTTCTTTTTGTTCCTCCTCCTCGTTTTTGGTCTGGCAGGGTCATGCCGTTCCTCTTTAATGCAGGCACCTTGGTTATTGTGGGTAATGTCTTTTCCCACCTGGAGAGTAGCTTTCTGCAAACCACCGGTCAAGTCCATCCGGAGATGGAAGCTGGCATGGAGCCTGGTAGCAGGTGACAGCAGAGCTCTGTCGCCTCTGTGGGCCACCAGTTGCGTTCCAGGTAGCGTCTGAAGTGGTGGGTGATGAAGCCCTGGGTGGATGGAGGCCTCCTTGAGAGAGTAGTGAAAGCAGTGGAAGTTCTGGACCCCCCAAATCTTTGTGGGAAGTGCTAGCCTTACCCTTGGACCTTAATGTCACCCCTATTTCCCCAACCCCTTTCTTGCCTGCAGCAGCTTCAACTGGTTGAAGTAATGGGCACAACACAAGGCCTGTCTTTTGCGGAGGGAGTCTGATGCGGGCCGATAAGTTGGGAGGAGGAGGTTATTAGTTGAAGTTTTGGTTCATTGCAACTGTTATTTTATTCTACTTTTTCTTTGGGACGAAGAACAACTTTGGTGTCTACTTCTTCTTTGACTGTATTTTTAATAAGTGACAAAGGCAGCCCGAGCCTTGGATTCTTTGGTCTGTTTGTTATGTATAAACAAATGCTGTGTAGTGTCAGCAATGGGCTTACACTTCTATTGGGTTAGGTATGTAAGAAGAAACAGTGCAGACGGGAAGTGATATTTTGTGAGTATCGTGTTGGTTCCATTCCTTTCTCTTAGACTGCTTTATTGTGCATGTGTGTTAAATTCAGATCTTCTAGAGAGGCAGTAACAATTGAGACCAGTAGTGCTCAACCTTTTCCCAAGTGACCCAGATGGGCAGGGCCCAGTCCATCTGTTGGCTGGATCCAGCTGGGGGTCCTGATCCGGTGCCCAGGGTGGGCACCATTCAGCCAGAGAGGAAGAGGAGGGGAGGACTCAGCCCTGAGGGGAGAAGGGACATGGCTCAACCCCAGCCACCTGGGGCTTAGAGTTGGGAATATGGCAGGAGGGGAGGGCAGTCATATTAATGACTGCTGCTCCCCCGCTGCTAAATTTCCCAACCCATGGGGAGCCCTGCAGGCCAAATGCCATAGTTCCATGAGCCGCATTTGGCATGTGAGCTGGAAATTGTATTTTTAAAGGAGTAGACTTGTTTACTTGTCTCTTGCTTTTGTATCTATACCTACCTGCTACCTCTGTACAAATAACATGTATATTTTTGTACCAAACGTATTCTTTTCCTCTACTGCTTTTTATATGAACAGATGCCCAGGGATCCCTAATAGCCCATACTCAGGGATAGGTATGGAACCTTTTTACCTCTGTGTGGATTAAAACAAACCTAAATAAGTAGTGAGCAAAAATCTGATTGCGTGCCGGTGGAGGAGGGGGTGCTCTCAGTCCATTTCCACACCTAGCACACAACTGACACTCTTGCAGACAGCTCTGCTGAGACTGTCATGGATTTAAGGAGCATAGACCCTGACCCATCCTCTGTTCCTAATGACACTTGACATTTGCTAGGCCATGCTGAGAAGACTGCTGCCTATGTGCTGCCCATGTTGAACAAGTTCTGTGCTAAATAGGAACCTTCAGTAACAGGGCTGGTAATCTTTTGTTCTGGCTTACACCACTTGGTTATTGCAGGATCCAAGGATGAGGCTTCTTAGTGTTTTCTAAGTGCTGTTCAGTTTTCTGCAGTTTTTGGCATAGCTCATTCTTTTGAATGAAAATGAGAAGTAAAAGATAGTGAGAGGTTTACTGGGAGGTAATCATAGCTCCCTATTAACATATTATTAAACTTAGCGAAGGTATTTTTCTGGAGAACCCATTCATTTATTGAATTAGCAGAAATTTAAGTAGTGTTAGCCAGTCTGAATTTGTTGCAAGGGGGCACATCTTATCTTTTTCTTTTCTGTTTTAGTGCTTGCAGGCTTGCATCAAAAACGCTGCATCAGGAGCTATAATGTAATGCAAAAGCCTTTGGAGGTACGAAGTGTGATGCATGCAACTTCCTTCCCTCTAGGAAGCTCAGCCCCCCCCCCCTTTACACATTATAGATATTGCACAGCTAACGAGTTAATTGCACAGTTCCCTTGAGGCCAGCAACATGTGCAAAGTATCTATCCTACCATAAATATCTCCAATCAGTTATAAAGTTAGACCTCAAAAATGTTACTGACTTTATGGCTGGTTGCTATTGAGCTTTAATTTGCACTTGTAGCAGGGTCTCTCCTGTGGCTGTGAGACCCATCAGCCAGTGGGGCTCCCAGCCACAGCAAGTAGGTATGCACCATACCTAGCTGGGGCTGGGAGTCCTGCAGCTAAGGGGACTCTTGGTCCCAACATCTGTGGATTCTGTGTCCTGGCAGCACCCTACAGGAGCCAGGACCCAGAGCCCCACAGATGCTACGATCTCCCAGCCTCTGGGGTTTCATGCATCCCTGAGGCAGTGAGATTGCAGTGGCTACCTCTCCCAGCCACAGAGGTGCCATGGGTGTCCCTGGGGCCAGGAGCCCCCTCATCTGGGCAAGGGATTATACTTTTCCTGCACTGGTAATAAGGTATGATGGGAGCTAATGCATGATTGTGTGGATCATGCATTAGATTCCATTATGCCTTTACCTGAATAGGTAGAGGGGCCCTAAAAGTATTATCTACACAGTGTTTGTTCTTCATTTCGACCTGGTTTGGGAAGCAAATTGAGTGAGATTCCTCTTAACCTTTTTTCTGTCATGGAAACAAAGTAGATTTAAAACACTGTAGTTTTCAGATTAGAAATCAGACTGTAAGCAGAATTAAAAGAAATGTATGAGAACTCACTTTGCCTAAATGTCAGTTGAAAGTGCACAATTTGCTTTTTTTTTGTTACACTTTGGTGTTCTAATGATGTCATGGTATCACCTCAGTACATTGCATAATAAATGTATTAGACTTTATAGTTTAGATTTATCCAACAAACACGTCATCTTATTGACATTTTTTCTAGTTCCAAAAACTATAGAACTACATGAGAACTAGTTAGACTTGCATTTTAATTTTCCTCCCTGTATGCTTTTTCAGTTGAAATACATGATTACAGCAGACTTCACCTGTTTTTCATTGAGATGGCTCAAATACAAGTAAAGTGCCAGTTGAAAATGAAAGTTAGGAAAAGCCTTCACAACTGTGGCTTGAAAAGCTCACAGAGAGAACCCTCTAAAGCCACAAATCTTTCCATGAAAACTAGTTACTGAGAACAAAAATCACAATACAATATTTATTCCTGAACTGTTCATATGCTACTGCACAATATTCTGATTAAAAAATGAGCACTCATGATATCAGTAAAGCACATGTTAAATAGATAAAAACTTATCACTGAGTAACTGATATCAAATGGGCGTGCTTTCAGGAGGATTCTGCAGGAATCAGTACTAGGGCTGATATCATTCAACATTTACAACTTTCCATCTGGAGCACGGTTGTAAACTGTAAATTTATGGATAGTGCATAAGAAACCAGGCTAAAAATGCATGTCTAACATCCGTTAAAAAAAAAAAGTAAGAAAGTGCTTGTGGCAGTACAGCTCAGTGCCTCTCAGGGAACTGCCAATCTCTTCCTCTTCTCATCCCAGCCATGTGCTGCTGCTGTGTTTCCTGGCTGCCCTTGCCTTTAACAGCTGCTCAGTGCTTACCTCAAAGATATGCAGGGCTGCATGGCCTCCAGACTGGACAGGACAGGGAGGCCCCTTGTAAATTTGAGCTGTGAGGCTGGGAGAGGGGGAAGAAGGATGTGAGGTGAATGGCAGGGTGGGGGCTTGAATTGGCGGTAGCACAGTGTAAAACCACTGCTGCAGTCCTCACCATTTCTTACTTAAGATCCCAATATGATTAAGAATGAAAAGATGATATTACAATTATATTGTTTCTTTAGCAAGAGTGTTGCCTTCAGCAGTAGACTCTGAAATGTCACTTAGAATGATGAGCTTTATGTTCACATGTAGTTAACACTACTTTTTGAAAGGGGAAAGAGAGGGTTAGGGTTTTAGAAATATTTTTGTTTTTGCTTTTTAGACAGATAAGTTCTTAAGATTATTCTTTTCATATCAGTCATTTGAGAGGGTTGCCAACTGAAGAAGTATTTTCTTTGTTTGTTTTACTTGACAATCTGCAAGCTTCTTAGTGATGACCAAACTTTTTTTTTTTTAAACTATGGCTCATGTTGAACCCTTAAACTTGAACCCAGCCCTTCTAACTGCTGTCCAGGTCTTGACTGAAGGGTTATATTTATATTATATAAAACATATATCAGTAAAAATGTATCAGTAAAAATGTGGTTGTCAGTAACAAGTTTGTAGATTGTTGGTAAAAAATGTTTCTTGGGTTGCCAACCCTGATGTGGACATAAATATATAATCACAATTAGTAGTATTTGCAAGTAATACAGAAGTTTGTGGATTGGTAATGCCAGAACAGCTTTACAGAGCAATCTGGATTGCTTGGTAAACTGGAACCAATTTAATCAATTGAACTAGTAGGCATTTGTTCATAGTTATGAAAAGAGGAAATACCATATTTACTCAAATATAAGACAGCTCCCCAATAATTAGTTTCTATATATGGAAAATTTATAAAT